ATTATTAGTTGATATCAATAAGCCAGACAGACTTAATTAGCTTTTGGAAATGGGTTATTTACTGAGAAGATATAGCAAGAACCAAAGTATAAAAACATCCCCTCAAATCAAGGAACATTCTTCTCTACCACCTCAGTCCCTGGGCAGAGTGGGCTCACACTTAAAGTGGTAGCTCCACTGTATTCCTCCTACTAGGTTCATTTCCAGTTATGGCATGGCTAACGGACAAGTTGCTCTCTTGCTTTCAGGACACAGTGTCTCAACAGCCAGATCAGTCCATGGATAAGCCAAGTGAAGCAAGCAAGTCACTCCTCAGGGCTTCACTGGCATATTGGACATGGCTGCAGCTACAGCAACAGCAAACTGAAATGGACTGCCGGATGGACCTCAGGTGACTCTGCTAACTTTTGATGCTCATGAGAACATTCTGTATCTAATACTGCCTCATCTTTTCAGAAAAGAATAAGTACAACAGAAACAGAAGAAACAAAGGTGGCATATGTTCAAGGCCACGTGACTGCCAGGTAACACAGGGCTTTCCCACCCAGAGGCTTAATGTATTTCTTTCCCACCACTTGAAGAAGAGAGAGAGAGAGAGAGAGAGAGAGAGAGAGAGAGAGAGAGAGAGAGAGAGAGAGAGAGAGAGAGAGAGAGAAACAGAGAGAGACAGAGAGAGAGACAGAGAGAAAGAAGAGAGAGAGGAGAGAGGAGAGGAGAGGAGAGGAGAAGAGAGGAGAGGAGAGGAGAGGAGAGGAGAGGAGAGGACAGGAGAGGAGAGGACAGGAGAGGAGAGGACAGGAGAGGAGAGGACAGGACAGGACAGGAGAGGACAGGAGAGGAGAGGACAGGACAGGACAGGAGAGGAGAGGACAGGAGAGGAGAGGAGAGGAGAGGAGAAGAGAGGAGAGGAGAGGAGAGGACAGGAGAGGACAGGAGAGAGAAAGAGAAAAGGAGAAAGACAGATTGAGTTCCTCTACTGGAGCCTTTTTGTATGCATCCTCAGTATAACTGGCTCTGTAGCCAGACAAGAAGTGGTCACCAGATTGATACCTTCATAGCATGCTCTGAAATGGAAAGCTCGGCCCTCCATTACGCAAGAGCAGAGACCAGCTCACCACGCAGAACAGACTGCATGATCAGAAAAACTGAGCCCCTGCTGGCCAATTCCCAGTTACAAATGATTTTGGTACATGACTAGGAGACATTCTTTGTTGAAAGACAGCTTTTAAGGGAAGATTTTGATCTACTGAGTCAAACTTTTCATTATCATAAATATTGCTTCATAAATAACAGATAATAAGCAGGGTAGAATCTTGTAGTCTCCATGTCTTTGAGTCAACTGCAAAATGATAAAGACACGGTCCATTGTAAAATATTGCTTGCAAAAGCCTGCTTGAGGATGTCTTCGATTCATGTGTAGATAAATCTCATAAAGATTTTGCAAGGATGGGAAAATAGCACATGAGTCTATAGTTGCGGATATGTTCTCAGTCACTGTTTTTCAGCATGAATAAGGTCTGAGATTTTTTTCCCAAGCCTTCATATATTCAGATATTCTGTAAATTAACCTCAATACCCTCACAACTGTATCACCTCCAATACAAATTTCTTCTGCAGACCCTTTGTCCAATCCAACTGCTTTTCCCATCTTTGTTCTTGTTAGTGGAATATGTTATTTCATTTGACCCTCAAAATAGTCCTATGAGGTGGGTCCCATGACTATACTCATTTTATAGACGAGGAAACTGTGGTTACAAGAAGTAAAGTCACTCTCCCCAAGAGAGTTATTAAGTGTCAAGGGTAGGATTTGAACCCATCTCTTCCTGATTTTAAGCCCAGCACTCAATCTACTATACTTTAACATGTTACATAATGTTTGTTGTTGTTCAGTCATTTTTCTGTTATGTCTGACTCTTTGTGATCCCATTTGGGGTTTTCTTGGCAAAGGTACTGGAGTAGTTTGACATTTCCTTCTCCAGCTCATTTTACAGATGAGGAAACTGAGGCAAATAGGGTTAAGTGACTTGCCTAGGGCCACAAAGCTACTAAGAATCTGAGGCCAGATTTGAACTCAGAAAGATAAATATTCCTGAATCCAAATCCAGCACTCTAACCACTGAGTCACCTGGCTGCCCCATGTAACATAATATAGTAACGGCTATTCTATTATTCTTCTCCTCTTTTTTATTCTTCCTTGCTTAGACTAGTGGTAGCCACAGAGATGGCCTAACTTTGCTGGTTTTACCCACAGCTAAAGGGCCTTATGATCCCACCCTGTTTCCAGAGGCCAGAAAAAGCAGTTCACTTACAGGCATATGGAGTAAACTAGATGATAACAACAACTTATACTGGTTCTCAGTTACCTTTTGACGTGATCATCTCTTGGGTTTAAAAGTTAACTTTTTTTTCCTTTTAAATCCTTTTCTTTGCAGTTCAAGAATATACTTACCTTTGATCATGGGCAATTCACTTCCCCTCCCCAGACTTTAGTATCCTCATCTATAAAATAAGGGGATTAGACAAAATGATCTCCAAGGTTACCTCTAGCTCTAACTCCACTGATCCTACAAAACTAGGCCCATCTCTTGGAACAGGTGAGAGAGCAGATGGCCGCCAAGGGCCTGGCCATGCTAGGGCAATGAAGAAAAGAAAGAACAGCCCTGTCAATATCACAGACTTAGAGATGGAAGGAGCCTTAGAGGTAATTTCATCCAAACCCTTTATTTTCACAGATGAAGAAATCAAGGTAAAGTGACATGTACAGTAAATGACAGACTTGAAATTTGAATGTGGGTCTTCTGACTCCTGGCTCAGCCCTTTTTCCACTGTACCAGGATAGAAGCTGGAGGGAACACTCTGCTAGAGGAGGGCAAAAGGAAGAGTTTTCCTAAGAAAATGAGCTCCCAGACCCTGTTCAGAAACAACAATCACATTTCACCAAATGGTCTAGTTTTATGGAGTCTCAGGACCCTAACATAGACCAATGCTACCAGAGAGTTCACACTACCTCTGTCATTCCAAGCCCGAAGTCAGGAATACTCCTCTTCCTGAGTTCAAATCCAGCCTCAGACACTTACTAGCTGTGTGACCCTGGGTAAGTCACTTAACCCTGTTTGCCTCAGTTTCTCTATCTGTCAAATGAGCTGGAGAAGGAAATGGAAAATCACTTCAATATCTCTGCCAAGAAAATGCCAAATGGGGTTGCAAAGAGTGTTTCATGACTGAAACAACTGAATAACAGCAACATTTCACAAGCTTCTTCTACAGAAGCCACGGAAACTGTTACCTTAAGAGCATAGAAGCAAGATTTTGGACTAGACCCTGTCATTCTGTGAGAGGCTTCTCCCTAAAAGTCAGAGAGAGTAAGTGTGAGTTTAATTCTATGAGGAGCTATGAGATAAACTAAGGAGAAGACAGGAAGAAAGAAGGTAGGGAGAAACTTCTTTCTTGTTAGAACTGCCTTAACTGCTATTTTTCTGATGAGACATTACAGAGATAATTCATAAGGAGTCATCTATAAAGAACCTGTTTCCCTGTTGTGGCTGGAGAGAGACTGGATGAGGTATAAAGACAGAGGACGAAGAGGATTCTCTCTTTAGAGAACCATTTTGATCTTTATCTTGTGAAGAGGATGAAGATGACTCCTGAAAAGAGACTTGGTATCTTGAGATAACTGAAGAGTAAGACTGTATTAAATGAGAAGTCAAGAGTTGTAGTGATGGTCACATGCAACTCTGACCTTTCTCACAGCATAAAAATTGTAAATAATAATTTATGTCTGTCTTGTTGCTGTTGGTTACCTTGTTTATAAACTGTTTAGGCAGTAACTTTAATTTTTATACGAGCCCCTCCAAAAAATTAAGGGTTATGCTATATAAAGAGATATGAGCAAATGGGAAAGTGGATGTTTCTCCAACTCATGAAACAGTATTTAATAAACTGGGGTGGGGGCACAAGCTAATTGATTAATAATTTACATGTTGCAATTTAATAATTATTGAGGAAATATCCAAATACACCCCTGTTACACCAGAACTTGGCAACAAATCAAGTATCAGGCTGAGGAACGAGCTACAAGTGAGTGTGGTCAACCTCAGACCCACGCAACCTGGCTACGCCAGGTAGAATGGTATACAGGTGTTCAGGAAGGACTAGTACCTCTGGTGTGAGGGCTGCTGAACCCTTTTCAGGGCTCCATTCTACCTTTAATGTCCACCTTTCACCCAACTCTCACCTGTAGCTCCAAGAAGCTGCAGCATGTGCAGCAGCCACACCCTGGTTAACCATCTTGGCAGAAGGGCTAAACCAGGCTGAGGGTAACCAACAGCCCTCAAACCCATTGGTGAGTTAGGGGGTGTCTACCCCAAGCACATGAAGACTTCCCCTAGTGGAATGGGTGGATGAGAACAATTCATTCCAATGGTCATGAAGGAGGCTGGAGCAGGCACTGTGGAGTACTTACAGCTTGGTAAGACATCAAAGACACCAAGGTCATTCTGTGCATCCCAGACCATTGCCAGTCATCCTGACTTTGTCTTGGCACTGGACTCGGATGACTCTGCAAAAGAGAGTGAGGCCAACTCTGCCTCACTTAAATCCAATTTAGGTGTGAGTCAAAAGACATCACCCATACCATTTTACCATTTTTACCTAACTCAGAATCCTGTGGCAAAAGGCAAGTGACAAAGCAGCAAATATGGATACATGGGAGCTGTAGTCACACCCTGCATACAGGTGGCCCAGGCCATAGGGGTTGTCTTCTCATTGGACTGAAGCAGCAGTGGGATTCAGCAGCCCCTTGGATGTTGAGCAGCCTTTTTTTTAGGACTGCACTGCTCACCTCCTAGAGTGAGGTAGGGGCTAGAAAAGGTGCCCCCAAATTTTTCTATTTTACTTTACCTAACCTGGCCTCCTTACTTTGGCAGGCAGGGATGCTATCCTGTGGTCAAAACACACACACAAAAATGTATAAAAAGTTTTGCAAAGATTATTCCACTCACCATTGGTACATGGGATGTGTTCATGCTTATGGACAACACTAAATCCAGTAGACCTGAAAGACAAACAGATCTTGTTTCAAAAGAACTCAGCAGATATTGCATCCAAATAGCAGCCCTGAGTGAAACAAGGCTGGCAAATGACCAGCTTACCAAAGTCGGAGCAGTATACACATTCACTGGCTGCAGTGAAGGTGAACACTGTGAAGCTGGCATAAGTTTCACAATCAAAACTAATCCCCCTAAAAGAAATGAACAACAGGCTTGTGGTACTACTATTGCCACTTGCAGGTAAGTGTCATACCACTGTGCATATGTTCCCACCATGACGAACCCTGATGAGGTCAGAAAAAAATTTTATGAATCATCAATGCACCAAAAGAGCACAAGTTTGTAATTCTGGATGACTTTAACATCAAAATAGGCGCAGACTATCAGATGTGGCAGGGAGTTGGAACAGAGTTGGAAACAGCAACAGCAATGGTCCCTTCCTACTGAAGACTTGTTCATCTCATCACCTTCTTATCACCAACGCTGCCTTCTGTTTATTTAAACACAATGAAACTTTGTGGATGTACCCGTGCAGCAAACATTGGCATCTAAGAGACTGTGTCATTGTAAGAAGGATAGGATGTAAGAGTAACAAAAGTGATGTGTAAATGTGTTGTGCAGAGTGCTGGACCAATCATGGACATTCTCTCCAAGCTAAACATTCACATTCAAAAAAGCGGCAGCCCCAAGGCAAGAGCAGAAGACTTAATGTCAACAGATGCAAAGCTTCTCCCAGCGGGAACAGTTTATTACTAAGTTGGAGGGAAAGATAAGCCAAAATACGGTTGGGCAACAGTAGAGCAGAAGAGGAGTGGGCGTCTTTCAGAGACTTGGTGTACAGTACCGTATACACTCATCTGGGCCAAAACATTAGCAAACATCAAGATTTGTTTGACAAAAATGATGGGGAAATTCAAAAGCTGCTAAACAAAAAACAAGAACTCCACAGGATTTACCAGCAGGATACTTTATCTATCTCTAAGAAGGCAGCATTTAACTCCATCAAAAGTAAAGTATGAGCAAAACTTGGAGACACACAGGATTCTTGGTTCCATAAGAAGGCAGATAAAATTCAGTTTTATACTGATAGTAACAATCTAAAGCACTTTATGATGCCCTGAAGGCTATTTATAGGCCAAAGACTTATGATAGATCTCAAATACTTAGTCACATTGATTAGTGGTAAGGACATGATCCTAGAGAGATGGGCTGAACACTTCCATAGTGTCCTCAATAAACCATCATCAATCAATGTCGAAGCCATTGACCATATACCTCAAGTTGAAGTCAGTCCCTCTCTAGCTGAACTTTCAACTGAAGAAGAGGTTTTGAATGCAGTTAGGCTCCTTTTGTGGGGCAAAGCACCTGGTGCTGATTCCATTTCAGTAGAGATTTATAAGGCACTGCTCATATCAAAGCTGACTGAAATCTTTCCGGTTATATGGCAAGAGGTTATCTCCCAAGAGTCCAAGGATGCCTCCACTGTGCATGTCTGTAAAGGAAAAGGAAATGGGTTGTCCTGTGACAATCACAGGAAGATCTTTCTCTTAATCATTCCTGGCAAAATTCTTGCCAGATTCCTCCTTAGTAGGCTGATCCTTCACCTGGAAGATGGTCATTTACAGGAAAGCGGCTTCAGGAAGGGCCAAGGAAGGGTTAATAGGAAGGGTGTTTGCTGCTCAAGAAATGGCAGGAACAGAACAGAGGTCTGTATACAACATTCATCAATCTGACCAAGGCCTTTGACACTGTCAGTCCTGAGGGCTTGTGGAAGATCATGACAAAATTTGGTTGGCCAGAGAAATTCATCAGTCTTGTACACCAGTTTCATGACGGCATGCTTGCATGGGTTCTGGATGATGGACAAGTCTCTCACACTTTCCCAGTCACCAATAGACTGAAGCAGGGCTGTGTGCTTGCTCCTGTGCTTTTTAGCATGATGCTTTTCAGTGATGTCAGATGCCTTCAATGAGGGTGAAAACAGCATCAAGGTCAGTTATGGCACTAATGGTAAATTATTTAACTTGAAAAGGCTACAAGCCCAGACTAAAGTGTAGAGAGAGTTGATGGATAACTTTTTGTTTGCAGATAACAGTTCATTCAATGCAGCCTCTGAAGCTGAGATGTAACAAAGTAGGTATCAATTCCCTGCCACTCATGATAATTTTGGCCTGACACTTAACAGCAAGAAAACAGAGGTTCTCTACCAGCCAGCACCACACCATTCATATATGGAACCATCAGTTATAGCAAATGGAGAAATTTTAAATGTGGATAAGTTACCTTGACAGATATGTATACATAGATGATGAGGTTGACTCATGCATTGCCAGAGCTTGGTGTTTGGGAGGCTTTTAAGGAAGGTATGGGAGAGAAGAAGTATTAGGCTGCCTATCATACTGAAGGTCTACAGAGCCGTTGTGCTAACTTCCTTGTTGTATGCCTATGAAACAGTATACCAGCGCCATGCCAGGAAACTGAATCGCTTCCATTTGAATTGTCCCAGAAATATCCTGAAGATCAACTAGCAAGATGAGTTACTGAACGCTGAGGTCCTCTCTTGAGCTAAAATGCCAAGCATTCAAACTCTACTGCAGAGAGTGCAACTCCAATGGGCTGGCCATGTTGTTCGAATGCCAAATGTACGTTCGCCTACAAGATTGTTTTATGGAGAGCTCACACAAGACAAGAGCTCATATGGAAGTCGAAAGAAATGTTATAAGGACACTCTAAAGGTCTCTCTGAAGAACTCTGAAACCAATTTGGGACATGAGAGACACTGGCACAGGACTGCCCAGCATGTCACGCCCGCATCAAAGAAGGTGCTGTGCTCTATGAGCAACGCAGAATTGCAATAGCTCAAAAGAAACATGAGATGCACAAATTTAGAGACATTTCCCCTCCAAATATTCATATGGACTATTCACACTTGACCTGTGGTAGACCCTTTCGAGCTCGTTTTGATCAGATCAGACACAGTGGGACACACTATACCTTGACTACAACATAGTGATATTATTTTGGACCTCTTAGAGAATGAAGGACAATAACCTCAAGGCCACATGTGGCCTTCTACATCCCTGGGTGTGGCCTTTTGACCGAGTCCAAGTTTTACAGAACAAATCCTTCTATTAAGGGGATTTGTTCTATGAAGTTTGGATTCAGTCAAAGGGCCACACTTGAGGACCTAGAGGTCCACATGTGGCCTTGAGGCCGCAGTTTCCCCACCCCTGTTAGAATAACTTGGCCCTTTACATGGGCAGAGGCTATCTAGCAGCTCATTCCCTTCTAGGTCATAGCTTTCCTTCCCAAGGAATTCATCCCTGTCACAAATTCATGCCTTTCACAAAGGCAAGGTTTCCTCTTAAAGCCCAGTATGGGCTGTGCAGCTATCTTCCAAAAAATGGAAAATGGTTACCCCCTTTAAACATCATGGTTACTGGTGTGCCAGGAAAACCTGGTCCCAAGAATTGTTCTCTTTCTCTTGTCAATAAACTTTCCTCTCTATTAAATGTGTGGTTCCCAAGAAGGCATTTAGGTGACACACTGGATACAGTGCTGGGCCTGGAGCTAGGTAGACCTGAGTTCAAATCCAGTTTCACACACTTATTAACTATGTAACCCAGGCAAGTCATTTAACCTCTGTCTGCCTCAATTTCTCCAACTACAAAATAGAGGTAATAAAAGCACCTACCTCACAGGGTTACTGTAAGAATTAAATGAAATATTTGTAAAGCACTTAATAAATTCTCATGTAACCTGAATTCCAAAGCCCATTACTATGGCATTCTCTCTTCATTGGTGAAAACCAGTGTCCCAGTGCCTGCACGAGGGTCAGGGTAGAGTCAGCAAAATTAGGAGAGATGAGAGCTAGTCTCTTCAGTTTCTAGACTAGAGTCTCTTTAGCCTCTGCTAAAGTCATTTCAGGTGTTCCTAGCTTTCAGCTTTGAGACAGAAGCTTGACGGTGCCAACCCTACTTCAGGCGGCTGAAGGGAGAAGACTTTGGAAAGAAGTAAATATGAGAGGAGCTGGCAGTCTCCATCATGTCCCTATCCTCAGCTTTTTACACACTTGGATGAGATACGTTCTCCTATATATGCCTTCTCTGATTTTTGTTTTGCTGTTGACTAGAATAAATGGGTTTCTTTGCTACTTGTTATATGTGTTCATTGTGGAACTGGTATTTGGTGGGAAGGGAGTCAAGTCTTGGTGATAGAAGTGTGGGTCCTCCTTCCCTCATTAATGAAGAGCAAACAGAAGTTTAACTTGAACCTGAAAACCACATCCCCTAGACTTAATATTTATGGAAGCAGAGGGATATAATTCTAGCCTGGCACTCCCTCTCTCTGAGGAGAGCAGAATGGTCAGCCTCTGCCCTTCATCTCCTGGCAGGAATTAAGGTCTCCTTTGGAAAAGAGTTGGGGGGAGAAGAGGCTAGTCTCCTACCTCCTCACCTCCTTTTAAGCCATACATGATGTTTCGTGTTAGATGTCAGGGACAACCACATTACCCTAGTTTCAGAAAGAAAGAAAGAAACTAAAGAAAGAGCCAGTTTGCACTCCAACTTGGACTTACAAATAATTTAGAATTCCTCCTCTTTGGATCTATTCCCTTCCTAGTCTGACTTTTAGGAAGCAGAACTAAGAGCAGAATCCAATAGCAACCTGCTATGGGTTTTTACTGTTTTAAACCTTAAAATGCCCTTTAAAGAGATAACAGTTTTAAGGGGGCTCCTAGCAGCTAGAAGGGGAAGGAGAAAGGGTGTGGCTTGGTCCCCTTCATCTTGCTCTGCACTACTCCCTCACATTCCCCCAGATAAAGCAGGAAGTTGGTTAGCACAGAAAAAGGGAGAGTGGATCTCTATTTCCCAGGAGGTTAAGGCAGGGCACTCCAAGCTAGTCTCATCACAGACACCTTGTGCACTGTCAAATGGGTAATAGCAGAACTCCGGGCTCTCCTTTCCCTACATCATTGTGTCAGAGACCAGATGTCTATCATAGGTAG